TTTCCCAAAGAATTGCCATGGCTTCCCTGACAAGTTGAAGCATTGAAAAGTTTGAAGTTTTTTTATGATCTGATTTAGGTCAAACCACAGGGTAGCAGAAGTAGTCAGGGACTGTCTAATAGCCATTTTCATTGCATTATATGAGACACTGTGAAAGAATACATTTATTTTGGGGGCATGATACGACTAAGGTGCCTTTAGTCATAAAAAAAGCTTTGCCTTTTAAGCAGATGTTCCAATGACAAATTTGTCATATACTGCTGCATGCCTGAAAAAACCTTTAGAAAATAAAATTTCATTTGAAACATTTCTGTTTTCTTCAAGAGCAGCTCAGTTAACCTCAGCCACTCACCCATTAACAAACAATGCAGTATGTATTTTTGTCTACTGACCACCTTCCTAGGAGGAAGGGCACTCTTGGCCATTAGATGCCAGATGTGAGTTTGTCTGGGACTCACATTAGTTTTAACCGATGAACTCTTGTCAAATTTGTCAAGTTTCCTTTCAATAGGTTACAAGTTCCTCAAACTCCCTTGCAGCTTTCCTAGTGACTCAAGTCTAATAGCAGTCAGACAAGAGAACACACCTGTGTCTGGGCAGCTTCTCCAGGTCATGCCATAGCCAATCTTCATTAGCAATGCACACGGAGATGCCAGGCTCAGCACACAAACCATGGCAAATAACATCCCCTTCCCAGCTGTGGAGAGAGAAGGGTAGGGGCAGCAGCAGCTTGGACAGTGCTCCCATTTATGAGTGCCCTCAATGTGCAAAGAAGTCTCTCTCCTGCTAAAATGTGAACTCATCTGCCCTTTGCAAAGTCCAGCACCAACACCTCTGGGTGCTGGCAAAGCACATCCTCAAGGGCTGCTGCCAACTCTGTGCCTGAGCTTGGGATGTTTGGGGAACAGGCTCTGCCAGCTGGCTCACCATGCAGCTGCCCTATGGCAGTGTGGCTGTGAGGAGCAGCCAGCTCTGCTGCCCACAACAACCACAGCTTTAAACAGAGGTGCCACCACCCCACTGAACCATGGCGGGGTCAGGCTGCAGCTCAACTGCTGAGCTGCCCTGTCTGGGAAATAGCTTGGCACCTTTTAATTCAAGAGCCAGAGGAGTTTCTCTGGCCTGGGTGTCCTGGTTTTAGCCAGGATGGGGTTAATTTTCTCAGTAGCTAGTGTAGTGCAGTGTTTTGAATTCAGAAGTGATAATACATTGTTGTTTTGGTTTTGCTGGATTGTGTTTATCATAACCAAGGACATTTTCTTGCCTGTGTCTCATGCTCTGCCAGTGAGAAGATACACAGAAAATTGGGAGGGAGCATAGCCGGGACAGGTGATTTGAACTAGCCAAAGGGATATTCCCCACCATGGCACGTCATGCCCGGTGTTCCAGGCCGGAAGGGGCCGATCCTGGGGGAGGTTCGGGGTGCGCCGGTCCGCGGGTGGTGAGCAATTGTATTGTACATCACTGATTTTGGTTTCTTTTCATTATCTATTGGCATTGTAGCTCATTCTGCTCTGTATTGTTATTAAACTGTCCTTATCTCAACCCACATATTTTACTCCGGTTGTTCTCCTCCCCATTCCTCCGGGTTGGGGGGGGAAGACCGGGGAGGAGGGAGTGTAAGCAGCTGCGTGGTTCTTGGCTGCTGGCTGAGGTTAAACCACGACACTGGGTCAGCGCTGGGCCATGCCACCAGCAGCACTGCTGCCACAGGAGCAGGCACAGCACAGGCAGCAGTGGCTGAGGCTGGTGTTGCCTTTGGTACTTCATTGCACTCTGGGTACTTCTGCTCTGCTCAAAGGATTGGGCAGGGCACAGACATTACAGACCCCACGTGCCTCGTGGCTGCTCAGTCTGCTGCAAATCCAGACTCCAGAGCCAGGCTCTCCAGTAAATCTGTAGAACATGGCACAGCACGTAATATCTGCAACATATCTCAAGCGCACCGGGGTGTTTGGATACCCCAATACATGGAGTAGCAAACCAAATCTAGATACATTCTGAATTTACTCTGTTAGAAACTAGGGCTCTTAATAATGCCTCGGCCAAACCAAACCGCAGTTCCTGATGCTCATGTCAGCATAACAGCCTTACAGCTTAACTACAGGAAACCCCTGGACAGTCTTACTGTCCTTGGAAACCAAAGATCAGCCAACACAAGCTGCTGTAGGTACCAGAGGAGTAACACACAGAGCCAACCGCCTTTTTTTTATAAAAGTATTTTTAATAAACTGATGGATTTAAGTTTTAGATGCTAGACAACTTGTTGCCATGTACAGGTAACAAAAGTCAAAATTCTTTGAATTTTATACAAATACTATGTAGTAAACTTGAATACAAGTTTACAAAAAATGCATCAGTGAATATTCAGCTTGTAACCAACTTCCAACAGTGAAAATTATCATCTATCAATAGTGATCAGAATTGCATTGCAAATTTTAGAAGTAATGCAACTATGTTTTTTTTTAACCAAGCCACTCTGAAGTTACTGGTGCACACTGACAGTACATTGGATTTTTTTGGCTTGCTGAACAGAAAATGGCATTTAAATAAAATGATTGAGTTAAACAATATGACATGTATAAAAAGTACTATCTCACAGAAAATTAAACAAGAATGAGAAAGTAAACAGAGCAGAACCCTGAAGTGGTGATATTTTTCTACCCGTTTTGATGGAAAAAATTCCACAGGTGTCCAGCTTTCTCACAGCATTTTGGAGTATTCTAGTCCTAGCACAGTGTGGTCATTAGTAGACTAAAAGAGATCCCTGCTTGGCAGTAATGCTGGTGAAAGGTAACTTGCTCTATTGCTAACAAATAGTAACCACTGGCAGGGTGAGTTCTTGGAGGCATCCAGCAGAGGCTGAGCTGACAGCACATGATTGAAGTTACAGTACCTCTCGATTTGATACAATACCCAACAGCCTTCAGGGTTCAGGTGTCAGTTTCCTCACAGGATTTACAAATAGATGGTTTAGAAAACAAACAAAAAATGTCATTATGGAGCGTAAGACAGTATTTTCGCCTGTACAGCTACCAATAAAACGAATGTTTTTGTTACAAACTTTCCAGTCTGCTTTATAAAAAATAGTCTCAGTTTTACCTCTAAATAAAAACTGTGCTGTGATCTGTCATGTTCTTGCATTGTACACGCTGTAATTGTGTGTGTTAATGAAGGTGTAGAGATTTGTGACCTAGCGCTCTGGATGTATCAGAAGCCTAAAAAGCTGATTTTGGTACATAAAAGGTAGCAATGAAAATTCATTCCATTTATTTTTCCTAAAGCCTAGGAAAAGCTACAGTACATTGCTAGATCAGTGGCCTCAACCCTGAGCTGAAATAAAGGACCTGCCTTGGCCAAGAGACTTAGTGACATTACCACCACAGCTGCACAGCAGAGACAAAATAACCTGTCTGCAGCCCCTTGTCTGAGCTGTGAGTAGTGCGAGATTGAGTTCTGTAATGCTTGAGAGTTGACTGGAGACCACCAGATTCATTTTCACTACAGGGAAAAAAAAGGAAAGGAGAACTGAAATTCAGAGATTCAAGTGCACTCAAACGGGGAGGGTCAGTATGTCCAGCTTCTGGAGAACAAACAGAGAATGAAGTTAGTCGTAGACTCATCAGTCTTACGCACTTCCCACTTGGCAGAAGAGATTACTGGAACACGTACCAAACTGCAGTTAAGGAGACTTCTACTATTATCTCACTCTAGTTTCACTTTTTTCCCCCAGAACTGAGCATCTCTCCCTCTCTCTCTCTGTACCTACACTGCATCACAGAAGATGAGTGAAAACTTAAAGTCTGTCTGATGAAGGATTCCACCCAGCTGCTAGCAGAAAAACGTCCACTCATTTCTAACACGAGTCAGAGTTGGCAATCATAAGAATTCTTACTATGATACAGCCTACTGCACCTTCATGTTTTCCCCCAGAACTGAGCATCTCTCCCTCTCTCTCTCTGTACCTACACTGCATCACAGAAGATGAGTGAAAACTTAAAGTCTGTCTGATGAAGGATTCCACCCAGCTGCTAGCAGAAAAACGTCCACTCATTTCTAACACGAGTCAGAGTTGGCAATCATAAGAATTCTTACTATGATACAGCCTACTGCACCTTCATGTAGGGTTCAATGGCACCAACTACCCATGGCTAGGAGTATTCATGATATGAAGCACTCTTGCCTCCCAAGAGGACTTTTTTTTTTTCCATTTGAACAGCAGAAACTGTAGAGTCAGTATTTCACTTAATGAAAAAACTAAACCCAGCCACAGACTGAAAATAAAGCTTGTAAGAATCATTTGTATTTCTAGTAATGCACACCTCTTTGTGAGCTGATCAGTTTAGGGATTGTGTGTTTTTTGTTAGTTTAAGGCAGCAAGTCTTACAAAATACACGAGCTCACCTCCCTCATGTTTGTGCTACTGTAGCCTTATGTGCACAATAGAACCTCACTAATTTACACTAATAATTGGAAGAACCATGAATTCTCTTGGTAAGTGAACAAGAATAAGGCATTCCATTATATATTCTGATCACTAATTATAATTTAGCTCTAATTATAATCTACCAGCAAACATACTTCTGTGTTTTAGAAAATAATCTCTCTTACCTTCAGATATAATTATATGTGCAGATTAGTGGGTTCTGCTGTGTAAACACGCAGGTGCATAAGCAATTTTCAGGTTTTTCTTCATTACATCTGACAAGAAAGTTAACACCACAGACAGAGACTGCGGGAAAATAAATTAGGGTTTTTCTATCATCTGTGCGATATGCACAACTGGGCAGTGATTTATACCTCAAAAAAAGAAGGACAATGTTTACAAACTCAAATGAAGCAAAATCAGCAGCAGGAAGCAAGGCCATTCCCCAACCATAAATGGCTTGTTTTACAGGATTCCAAACTATATGAAACAAACAAACAGAGAAGGAACACAAGTACTAACTTACACATACAAGTTTGAAATCAAGTAAAGCAAACAGTGAAAAATTTGTTGCTGCTTCTAACGATATTCACATGCCTAAATCCTGATACAAGTAAACCGTAATAATGACAGAAGACAGGACCCAAGCTACATGGCTGAGTTCAAAAAAAGGAACGGATCGATGTGCATTGTAATGAGAGAGAAATTTCCCTTCATATGTGCAAAAATCCAGAGTTTCATTAATGTAGAGGTCATACTTCTAGGAACAGATCTTAGACACAACCAGTCTCCCTACATCCTGGAATCTACCTGCTTACATCAGCCACTTTAAGCACACAGTACCCTGTTCATGTATATAGTATTCAGCAGTTTCTGGCATTTCTCAGTTTTAACGTTCACCTGCCTTAAACCTTGAAAACAAGGGGGAAAGTTCATCCATGGCATCATACCACTGCTTCTGAGTGACACCAACAATTAAATCAAATTCAAATTCTTGCTTCTTCCACGGTGGCAGGAGTCCTTACAGGACTTGTAAACAGCAGTACACAATACTGTAAACAAATAATTTAAGTTCTGCTTTATGCAAGATGTTAAGTTAACCCAGGTCTACCAAACAGGTGAAAATGAAAAGGGTGGCTTCACACAAAATCCTTGCCTTTTCTCCCAGCAATTCCTTTCACTACATAAATAATCCTGAGCTGAAACAGGTTGATGAGAGCTGCTTTTTTTTTTTTTTTTGCATATAAAAACAGTGTTCTAGAGTCAGCTCTCGTGTTCTGTCAGGAAGTCAGTTGCTGGAGAGATTAAACTGAAGTATTTCAAACCACTTGTTACTTTGGAGGAGGACTTATAATTTGGTGTGGCGTCCAGTTCTAGACCCAGATGCTGAGCTTGCCAAGGAAGCTGATGCTGCTGCATCCTCAGCTTCCTCCAGCTCATCGTGTAGCTCCTGGCTAACACTAGACTGGAGGGCTGCAGGAGTTAGCCACTCCTTTGGCAGGCAGCTCTGGAGAAAGGGTATACAAGAGCTGAAGTAGGCAAGGCGATTCACCCATCGTGGAATCTCTTTTCCACAGAGGATCTAGGGGGAAGGATAAAGAAAAGATTAATTTGTTTTCTGGATTCAGCAGTTGCAAAACTACAGTACCATAAATAAAAAGCAAAACCTGCAGCAGCCTTATGGTTTATGTATCACAAATGCCAGTCAAGAAGCACCCCAAGTTAGCTGCACTAAGACAACCTTCTTCATCAGTAAAAGCAGCATCCCAATCCCACAGGGAGACTTATTTTCCATTGTGAAAGTTGGACACGTGGTTCTGTCCTTTTCTTACAAGTCCTGAAAAGCCTAACCACCTCACATTCCTTTTTAATAACAACTCATTTCTGTGCCTTTTATAGAAAAGTTACACTTTCCATTTGCTGCTAATTCCTCAGAAACAGAAACTGCAGGAGAAATCTCACTATTAGAGAAAAGCACCCTGAAATCAAGTGGCCAAAAGGGCAGTGATGATACCACAGTTGTGTGAGTTACACAGCTAAAGCTATTTACTGCTATTATGGCCTCTGATGACTTTCACAAGATGTCACAAGATCTTAGCACACACGTAGATTCAGTGGACCAAGAGAAGCTACACAACACAAAGCTGGTTTCAACTCCTCAAAAACACATAAAGCTGCACTAAATACTTGTTTTTACTGTACAGCAGTCATGAAATAATTTAATTGTCACTATTCAAGGAATGAACTATTTTACCTAACTACCTCCATATTTGCTGCTCGTGCAGTAAATACTTACTCCAGTGGAAGTCTGGAGAACAGGAGCATCACTCTGTTCGTTTAATTTGTCATTATACCCATTTTTTAGTCAATTTGAACACTAAATAGGACAAGACATAAAATAGAAACAATATGACCATGCAGTGAAGAGTATGGCAAACACCTGGCCATATAGGCCAGATCTCACGCCAACTGCAGCTTTGTCAGTGTCTCACCCTACTTACTTGTACCAGCATTGCACATGAATCATCATCTCAGTAAAATTTTCCAGTACCACTGGAAGATCAGTCTACACAAAACACAGGCTATATAGTAAGTGTGCATTAACTAGTTTGGAAAAAACCCCAAGCAATCAGAATCTATGAAAGTTCACCATGGAAAAAAATAGCCATTCTTGTTTTGGAGTGCTTCAATGAAACATTAGAATAAATTCTGGCAAGCACAGATTGCCAGCTATTGATATTAAAATCAAAATATCCATTCCCTCATTGTCCTGGGTTACTTGTTCCAGACCCTTTCCCTTGTGTTGATACACATGTGAATGATCAGGCATTCAATCATATTGGCAAACCCATCACATTACAGTAAAGCCAAGGAGAAAAAGCAAAGCTCATTTGACTCCTCAATCAGATACTTTGCAGGACCACTCAAGTATCTACATGACTAGAACACAGGTGCTGGCAGAGCAATAACTTGACAAAAGCCTCTCAAGCAGAAGATCAACATTAACAAAGGCATTGAAGTTACAAAGACATTTTTAATAGTAGGTCATAACTTTAAAAATTATTATCAGTGTGATGCATCTGTGGGGAAATAAAAAATAACATATGGTTCTATCTTCAGGAGCAAGCTCTGAAGCATCTGAAATGAGTTTGAAATCCTGTTAATACTTTATTTACTAGGTCTCTCATTTAGGAATGCACCTCTACTGGAACACAAACTATGTATGACAACAATATGTAGCATTTTTGGCAGCAAAATCTTGTGCTTTGGACATGAACACAAATACATGCTGAAAAATGGTGACATTTGTCCACGGTATCAGACACAGGAAGTCGGAAATGACACCAAATATTCCAAACAACAGGAAGGAGATGACACTCTGTAGCCACCTGGGAAGCACCTTTCTATAGACCTTCATGTTTGTTTACCTCAGATAAAGCTGAAGAAAAGTGATTGCAGTTTTTGTGCATTAGGTGATAAGCATTTCCTTTGAATTCTTTTCCAAGCTCTTCTACTATTTTTTCTATGTCATCTTCCATAAAGTCAGTACTGCCTAGAACCACAGCCTCTCTAGAAGAGAAACAGAGAATAGAGGTGATCAGGCTCCCATGATAAAGGTGGATTACTGTTCATATATTGCTCAGAAGTCACCCCATTGTGGGTGGCAAGATCTTTCTGTTCTCCTAGAATAACACAGATTCCTTCTATTCCATTTTACAGCACCACTTTCATCTTTATCAGGAGAGATCACATTTTCCTGCCAATTGTCCACCTTAAAAAAGTTACTGCATTGAATACACTATATGAATAATAAGTTAGCGACAAGTCCACAAAATTTGTATGCGTTTAAGGAATTTAATGGTAAGCTAAAAAAATGTTCTTTGCTGTAGACACTTCATTGTCTCATCACCTCTGTCCATCTTTCATTTCTGAGTAAACACATGAATTTCTCAGAAAGTCAGCCTGTAAAATTCGACACATCTATCCTCAAAAATAAATGCAGCAAATTATCTTTTCCATATGGCTTCACAAAAAGCAAGAAAATAGGTATCTTTCTTACTTAAATTTAAATGTTTCTCCTAGCTCGGAAGCATTTCCTGGTGAAATTTCAAATATTCCAGAAAAAGGGTATGGATGACCACCATAGGCAAATTCTGAAAGAGAAAGCTCAGATTTAACAAAACCAGCATACGACGACAGTAAAGAACGGCAGAGCTCACTCACTGGAAGATAACTTCACAAGGATCTAAAGCTAGCAACCAGACATCTTATTTACATGGCTAACAAATGCAAGGAGCTGGAAATGAACAGCTTTGTTAGTTACTAGTCAGCCTAAGTAAAACCGAGAGGAAATTTCCTACTTCAGTGTACAGGTTTAACTTGAATAGCTTTGCAGTAGGTATTTTTTTCATTGTATCAGCAAGGACTTACAAGTTAAATTGTAAATCCTACCGATGTTCTTTACACATGCTTGTCCTTAAAAGTCCACTTACACATGTCTACATTGGGGATTAAAAGTACTGCATCCTCAAAGGTCTGATGATGCTTCTGTTCAGTGTGGACTACAGCTCTAAGCGTGGTGGCGAGTAGTGGCCCAATAGGCTTCTAAACTTCTTGACTGGCAAGAGTTCAACTGTCCTGAGTTCTTTACTATGACAAGAAAGTAAACAAGTGCATGCATCTGAAGTCTACACATAGCATCTGCTGGCACAAGCACTTACAGTACATGAGAATACCACAGTGTGCTGCAGCTTCCGTCTGTGTCTGTGAGATAACACAGTATGGTGCACCCAGAGCACAGTCAAAAGCTTTAAGCATGACTTCATGCTTCCTCTCCTCAAAACTCGTATCATCCAAGTTTAGCACTTGGTTTTGTGGATAATCTTTTTTCCAACAGGTTAATAAATAAAAAGTTTGATGTACTCTGAAAAACAAAATCATTGTTCCAGCAGGGACATGACCTGCTCCAGGAGAAAGCTGTTATAATCCCAACAGGAAGGGAGGCACATGGATTTGGCACAGCTCAAAAACTGGGTTTCAGGCACAGAAGAGTCAGGTCTTTCTGGTTTGGATTAAAAGAAATCAAAAAAATAGTTTAACAATGAACATTGTATTGTGTCAATTTGTTGCTCTGGTAACACTTGCAAATCTGGTTTCAATGTGACCATTATAGTAGCTGAAACATAGTTGAAGGTAACTTTGGGCAGTGTGGTCTTTGGAGTGCATGCAGTACATTTTGCTACTTCCCAAGACATTCCAAAGAAAGAGCTGAAGTACATTTTTCTTCTTTAAATGGACTGCTTTCAGCAACAGCATCACCTCAGGGCATCATTGTACTTCTGGGGCAGAAACACCTCAGGCCTGAGCCTGTGCCACAGAGTGCCCAGAAACACCTTCTGGCAGCAATCTGGATCCCGAGTGGCCTGAGCAGATCAGGAGGCTGCAGCCCCCAGGCACAGCCTATATAGCAAAATCAAAATGTATTGCTGTTAATTATCACAAGGGTATCTTTTATGAACAGCATGCATGGGATGCCTTTTAAAGAAACGATGTCTTTAAAGTAAACCAACCTACCAATAGGCAATAGGCTTTTTCCTGAGCATCACTAACTTTTAGGTGCCTCTCTGCTACAGATTATCCTTTCTGTAGTTCAAAATTAACTCCTTGCACTGAGGAAACGACTCAACCGTGCTTACATGGTTGCATACTTACAATCAAGCTCACATCTGTTTTAACAATAGATACTGCCAAACTAAAATAAAGATTTCTCTGTCTAGCTGAACAAATTGCACACGTTTTCATAGTTGCATAGCTTTATACAGGAATGCAAGATAGCCACCAGATTATTTGTATCCCAGGTTTTTTCCAGAGGCAGAATAGATGAGAAAAGTGATGAACAGGTTTCAGGAGCCAGCCTTCTCTCACTACCTGAAAAATGTTTTTTAAATAACAGCATTACTAGAGCAAAGAGTAAATTGTGTTTTTCTTGTACATACCTCGGCCATACACCTCTATACCTGAATGAAACACTCCGATTCCAAGGGAAGAAGTATATTCATTCATCCAATACTAAAAGGAAAGAAGAAACAAGAAGAACTCTAGTTAGTTTGCAATACAGACTTGTCTTCTCATAGCAGACTGGCATGTATTTGTCACCCACATGAAAAGAATTAAACCCTACCACAAAGTGAAACTGCACAACCCATTTTGTGGGAACAGAACATGCCATTAAAATTCCCCAAATGTATGCCATGAATTAATTCCATTAGGTTTTAGTGCTCTCAGTGTCTGTCAAGAAAGGAGTCCATACCTGGGAGAAATCCAGTCAACTTTCTATTTGTCAGCAAGTTATAGGTTGTAAAGGTTTCCATTGGGTGGAATATGTTCTAGAATAAACTGCAGTGATTTTGAAGGAGCACTTTTTCTAAATGACATCAGAATGTAGGACTGTAATACGCACACACTGACTGTCACTAACAGCAGTGACCACACTTGCTTATGAACAGATGAGCAAGAGACACACTCAGATATGTAAGACAGACTGAAATGACCTTATTATATTTTGTCACTCAACTGGTGGTCACCAGGCTGCTGATGCATGGCTCTCCATACATCAGGTTTAAGTGTCTTTTGCATACGTCTAACACCTATTTCCAATATATTACTTGTATTGTAGCCAACAGACAATAGATGCATTTCAATAGGAATCCAGGAAGCAATTTTTTTTGAAAAGGGAATAGAAAGTAAAAGAAACTTCCCTTAGTGCTTTCTCTTTTCTTTTTTCAGAAGCAGCAACAGCAAGTGTCTATCAGAAGCTAATTATTACCCTCAACACCTTAAAGATACACAGAGTTCTGGAAAAGGAAAAGCCTCAAAATTACCATTTCCTTGTCTACATCACCACCCTCAAAATATCAGTCTCCAAGCATTAAAAATTTTCAAGTGACACATAACTTAAAAGGCAACTTCAAATAGTCAATGCTATGCTAGCTAGTGGGGTAGGGATGACTACACTAAATCATCATCTTAGTCTATTTAAAGGGCTTAGCAGTTCTTTCCTTCCACCCCCCAGAAAAGAACAGAGAGCTAGTCTGTATGAACACGCTACATCCAGAAATACACTGGGTTAATTTGCTCTGTATAGAAAGACATAGAACAGGAAGAAAATGAAAAGAGGGGAAGGAAGGAGAACGATGCTAAAGACTATTCAACTAACTTCATGGGTTTGTGAGCATAAAAAAATTTATTCTGCTCACAAGGTGAAATCAAAGGCCCCAGGAAAATAGAAGAGCTACTATAGCATAAACCTGTTTCAGTTCTGAAGCCAGTCCTATCCCACAGTTTACCAGCTGACCATTTCAAAATAATTTTGGATTTGTATTTATAGTCACATCTGTAGGCACAGTCAACACATAGTCTGTCAGCACTGGAAGAGAGTATGCAATGGTGTATCCAAATGAACCTAACCTAGAACTGAGCTAGAGAGGGTCCCTGGTGCTCTAGTCTTTCCTCTCCTGGACACCCATTTGGCCAGAAAACTCAGACTCTGACCTTTGAATTCCAAACAACCTACACATCACATACACATCGATTTGTTAATGCCAAGCAAGGTTATGCTGCTCTCTGAAAATGGAACAGAAGTTACACAAAACATCCCACAAGCAGTAGAAGAATGAAGCCTAGTTGGTTACTACACAGATAAAAAATGAGGAAAACAATTATTCAGGTTCCTCCACTCCCACAACCCCAAGAAACCCAATGCAAAGTATAGGGAAGTCACCAGCCCTTCTCAGCGATCCACACAGAAGTGGATGAACAGGATGGAAAGATGTCCCAACAAGGTATTCGGCATGTCCAGTGCTATTCAAGTATGTACTCCTCCTTACTGGTGCCATCTAAATACACAGGGCTCACTAGACTACAGAAACTGAGCACTGGTGGCAAATAAAAGTTAGCCGCTTTGGAAGAAGTGCCTGAAGCAAGCTGGCACTTCACTTCGTATTTCCAATAAGAACAGAATAGGTTAACTGAAGATAAAAGAATTTCAACCAGGCAGAATTACTTTCCCCCTAGGAACAGTAATTATATCTAATTATTACTTAATCTGGATGAGCTATTGGAAGGTTGGACACATTTTCTCATTGAACAAAATGCCTTATCTCACTGAGAAAGAAATACAGGACAAATGCGACAAAGTGTGCTGAACTTGGCTACAGCTGAAAAATTATATACAACTTACAAAATAAAGATTGTAAATTAAATGACGTCTATGTAGCTCACTGGTTCAGCAAGTCCTCTAATTCCAAATGCTACATCCTTGCTTCCATTACACAAATGTGATTCCCTTTAGCCTTGATATGAATTTTGCCATAGTGGAATGCTGCAATCCCATACCCTCAATATATTGCCATATGTCAGTCCTGTAAAACGGGATTTCTGGTTTAATGCAACTATCGGAATGAAAATATTAGAGAAGTATTTTTCTCCAACCACCATAAAGTCATGTCACTGAAATTTAAGAAAAACACTTATCCCAGTGCTTCAAAAATACCTTTGTTACTTTCTTCAGAGCCTTCATTTATGTTAATTCTTTAGATTGTTATTGCCGTTTTTGACAAGGGAAAAAATAGGATGCTACTTTGGGCACAAAAATACTAGACTCCTAAAAATAGCAGTTAGTTAAAATGAAACAATGAAGTACTCCAGTTCTCAAAACAATATATCAAAGTCTTCACCCTACCGTTTTAACGATCATAACACACTTTCAAAGGCATGACCTGCACCACGTAAATACGCCCTTAAGCTTCTCTCCCTCCATAAAGTTACCACTGCTTGAAAGTCCACTTTCTTGTACAACACACACCCCCCCTCCTCACACTTCATTTTACCAAAGATGTTCACCTTTTCAAGCACTAAGGACATTAGAAGGGTATATGCTCCAAAAGCAACCAGCTTAGTCCTGTAAGGCGTTCCAACAGTACCAAGGTCACCTAGTATTCCTCTGCATACCTAAGCAGCAGCCTGGGAAATGAAGCTATAGTTAGCATTCAAGTTAAAATAAAGCTGTTCATAAGGCTTTGCAATTATTACAGTAGTGCTGATTGTATCAACCAGGTGAGTAACAGTGGTATCCTGTTCCAAAAGAGAAACAGAAAACCCCAATTCCAAACCTAAACTAAAAAACACCCCCAAACCCACTTCCAAGTGACACGAAATGTCAGACACAAACAGTAAACCTGCTAATGTCTCCAATACAGTTGGCAGGATTTGATGAATAAACAGAACTTCAAAATAGCTATTACAGAAGACTCTTCCCTTCTTCCACCCACTCTTAGTGCCCCCAAATAAGGCAGTGCTACAGATTTCAGCAGGCTACCTACATGCAGTAAGGGCTGCTATGTAACATGAAGTGAGGCTTTGGCTTAAACTCCTGCTTCAAACAAGTTTCAAATGAACCGAGATGTCGTTTAGCAAGAGTTCCAGACAGGATGTATCAGACACCAAGGGAACTTTCTCTCCAGTTTAAAGGAAATACATTTGGTCAACAAAAAATGGTCAAACAATGTAAAACAAGCACAGCCGAAGCAGAAAACAGAAATATTCTGCCTCATCGTCTTAGGTTATCATATATATAATTTGTGGTGATGTACAGCTTCAACCAATACCACAACTGCAGACTAATGCACAAAAAGTCACCCCTACATGTGAATAAACATCTGCAAACAAACGTGCTTGGTTGCCTCTCCTGGAGAGTAAGTTCCTCCCACAGATGGTGGTTTTAGAGACTACGCTACTTCTCAATGGAGGCAGAGCTCCACTAATCACAACAGGACAGCTACCAGTCCCCAGCACATCCTAAGGAAAAGTATGACACTAGTTTTTATGACCACAATTTCCTCCCTTCCCTCATGTCAGCTGTCCTTGGAGTGAAACTGATCATAGCAATTCAACTCTGGAGGAAAATGAATGAAGGATATGGGTTGCAGCACTGAAATTGAAGGAGTAAGAGATGAAGGAGAAGGAGGTGAATGAAAGAGTAGACTATCACAAGAGAAAAAGAAACAGCACGCTGAAGTCACACCCCACCATCACAGCAAGAGTGGAGTTTCTCAGAGGCCATGGCACTACTTTCCAGGCAGGCATGTACATAGGAGACAGTCCATTCTGCTAAGTTTTCACAGCCTGCCTGTGAAATGGGCACAGGTGACACCTTGCTCAGATAAGCAAGTCTTCGTGAGAACAGTGGGTCTTCCATCTTGGTGAGTCAGAAGTGTGTCAAGCCTTGACTTCAAAGACACTGTCTTATGTAAGAGTCCTGAAATTGAAGTCCTACTTCTTTCTCTGTACAAATATTTATAGTTAATATATGTAAACCCATCTCTTTTCATGCTCAGAGAGATTCTCCAACGTGCATTTTTGCACTGTGGTCCAGAGAAGTCATATATATGCATGTGACAGAGCATCCTTCTCTCCTCAAGCATCACATGTGAGCTCAACCAGGTGAGAGAAGATTGCTCCTGTCTCCAGACCCCCCTCATTCTCTACAATGAAGGAAAACCAAAGTAGAAGTAACAGGTTATGTTCACTGGAGACAGAACTCAGGACACAGGGAGAGGCAAAAACAACAAACCATAAAAACACCTCCTTTGACAAAATAATTGATTTCTAGGATAGGGTGAAAGAAAATAATGACAAGAATCAGGCTAGTTCCTATAATATATAATTTTTTTTATTTCAAGCTATATAGCTCTCTGTTGATTGCTAATTTGGCACTGGAATGTGACTATTCCCAAGCACACAAACTGCGTTTTCTCTCTTCCAGCAGTCACTGACTCTACACTACTCATTTTCACCCTTTCAAAACACCAAAGGTTCACTGCAAAATGGTGGTGGTAGGAAAGCCTTTCCAAAATACCATAAGTAACACAAACACAGTCACCTGAAGCTAGTTGTTGTTCTTACTGTCCCTCAATCTGTAGGCTCAAAAGTTGGTCAGTGAACTAATGCCACTCGTTCTAATTTCCAGCAACTGAAATGCATTAATGGGTGATATTTTCTTAATATCACTT